CGCCCGCCCGCGCCTTTGCGAGGACTGTTGCCGGACGAGCGCAGCGCCCGCCGCTTCCCCTCCTGCGAAGCCGTCGCAGGGAAGAAGCCTCAAGAGCCCGCTGTAGTGTCAAACAACTCCCGCAGTCCCAGAATTTGGTTAAAATGAAGGAGACGGGCATTCATCAGTTTACTGAGGATGGCAACTGTAAAACCTGTTATAGTCCGCAATGGAGAGCGGATGGAGCCACGGCTCTTTCCCAGCTCGTCGGAATGGATCCAGGGCTACACCTCAGGCTTCCCCAATGTGCTGCAGCAGAAACGGCAATTCCTGTGCTTGCTCGGGAGGTGGGATGTGGAGTCCAACATTTATTCAAAATGGAGGCCCCCGTATATGGAAGAATACCCATGTTATGGGATACAGATTTCCTTCTGCAGTGTAGGCTGGGCTTTTGGTAGTTACATGCAGGGCTGTGGAGTCAGCACATAAACCTCCGACTCCAACTCCTTTAATTATATATTGATATAGGAAATAAATTATAAATATACTAATTATGTATTTCCTATATCGACTGCATGCACGCACTGTACAAGGCATTTCATCACTGCCAACGTGAATCGAGGCAACTTTTTAGAACTCTAACCTGTTAAAGTTTGGGTCTAAAGACTATAGCTAAGACATTTTGGTTTTTAAAATTGTATTTCTTAAAGAAATTACAGACATTCAGTAACCTTACAGTTTAAACAAAGGATAAAAGCTAAAAAATAAACAATGAGGTTATATTTTTATCAAAATATATTTTTTGAAATTTGCAGAGAACTTGAAATTAAAATATATCCTGAAAAAAATAGGTTAATTAAATTGTTATCTATGAAATAGGAAATTTTAACATATTATATTATTTATATTATATACAATTCAAATTTATTAGGAGTTGGAGTCGGTCCATTTTTACTGACTCCAGCTCCAACTCCAGTAACCCAAGAATTGCTTCTGATTCTGACTCTACAGCCCTGGTTACATGACCACACTTACCAAGGAGGATGACTCACTAAAATTGCTGGTTTATCTGACAATATACAACAGCCCTAGAGCAAAGGCCCAAATCAATTAACCCTACTGCGCACCCACATTTCCAGTTAAATGTATTTTATGGTCATTTTAAATCACAAAAAATATATTGAGCTCTAGCTTGAAGTGTCTTGTGACACCCTGAAGGTTCATGGAATGAGACCCTGTTTCAGCAACTGAGAAAACAGCTTCAGTTTATCGGACAAAACTGAGTATATGCTGCTCTAGTTCAAGATACAGTAAGTGGTATACCACACCCAATGTCCCGTTGCATTTAGTGGGACGTCTCAAGAAAGTGTGTGTGTGTATATTTATTAAATCAGTGCTTTTCAACCTTGGCAACTTGAAGATATGTGGCTGGGGAATTCTGGGAGTTGAAGTCCACATATCTTGCCAAGGTTGAGAAGCACTGTATTAAATATTAGGGTAAGTTTGAAATAGCTTGTACTAAACATATTTGGAATAAAATTATTAGCTATTTGCCAGGGAAACTCAAATAAGTTAAAACCATGACAGACTACAGGTGTATTGCGGGCGTATTTAAAAGTTGCAATCAGACCTAAGACCTGCTAGCATTCAAATATACCGTCCCACGGACCGAAGTCAATTGAAGGACTGACGCGGCGACTACCGTGCGAATTCCCAGCAGGCAATGGGCGGGGAAAAAAGGTGGAGCTACGCTGCCGCTTTCGTGATTGGTCACCGTCGTCGATTTGAACGGGGCGCGGGGCTGAGTCCGTGTTTCAGCTGTCGTGGCTGCGTTAGAGAGCGTGCGGCGGGCTGCGAGGGAAGACCTGGTGGCGGGTAGGCTGAGTTTGGGGGAAAGTAGAGAGGGCCGGTTGGAAATCGTGCGGGAGATCCCTGGAACAGCGACCGCGTACTGTATGCATCGTTCAGGTTTTCCAAATGGGAGAGCTTCCACCCGTCTTGGACCACAACTCCCATACTTCCTATCCGGCGCTTGGTTGCGGAGTGCTAACGTTGAACTATGCCCACTCTTCTAAAGGAAACTCCAGACCAGTAGTTCGAGATAGCGCGGCAGATATTTCTATGTCCCGACGCCTTTTTGGTAGAGGGGTGGGAGGGACTCCCACATAAGGCTTCGGCCGCGTATGGGTTTGCTACACGCTCTAAATGCAAACTGCAACGCGCTGGAGTTGGTGAAGTCTATTTAGTCTAGCAGGGGGGGTTTAAAGGAGCCAACGGATGCCTTTAAACTGTTCTTTAGAGAGTGGGTTGGGATAGATTCATTGGGTTTGGGACAAGTTTTGTATATAGAGAGAAAAGGTTGCCTTTAAGCAAACTTTCTGAGGGTGTGTTAATAAAAAGGGGTGTTCTACAGATTAAATCTTTCACACTTGTGGTGTTGGTTCCCGCTGGATGTGTTAGGCTACATGTGTTGTCTGTTCCCCATTCATCATGTGTAATGGCCGTATTGGCAGGAGGTATGCAGAGTATGGAAGATGACCTTGATGGAGATATGCAGGCTTCTTTGTCAAGACAAAGAGGCTGAAGCATTTTTTAAATCCACCACAAGATAACACTTGGAAGTGGAGTGGGGAGACACCTCCCTAATTCACTGAATTAGGATGAGGAGGAGGAAGTACAGCATAATCAGATTTGCAAAGAACCTGTTGTTATATCCAGTCTCAATAAAAGTAGTTCTAGCCTTCCTGTGAATTGATTTTCTGGTCTGGTCTACCTAGTAGGGCTAACAGGAGAGGGTGGCCCACTTGTACATTTGGAGATAGCTGATTGCGTGATGTTTCACTAAAATGCCTCACATGGCTTGCAATCTAGAAAAAAGCCCAGGGTGACAATGGAAGAAAATCCAATATTGACAGATTCCATATGGAATGAGACAAGTCTGAATCACTTTGTGAGTTCTACTGAATGCAGCTGTTTTTAGTCACAGAATATTGAATGAAATGGGACAAAACAAAATGTATCTTCAGTGTGAGATGAGCTTAAACTCTGATAAGTTTGCAGCTGTTTACAGAAGCATGGCATGACAATTGAATGTGACAAGGATAGTTTTACTACATCTCCATAATTTAACATTTTCCAGAGTGTTCAAATTGTATAATGCTTGCACTTTAAACTGTCCCTCTTTCCAGGTCATCTCCTGCAGGCTCAGGTGAGAAAGCTGGTTATTTGTGTTGAGAATAAGAGGTGAGAATCAGTAGGAAATCTACTGGAAAGCAGACCAGATATGGCAGTGTGTCAGATTTTTTATTCTTTTGACTTGCATAAGTTTTCAGACTTATGAATTTACTACCATTCTACTTTTTTTCTGGGAGATGAAAGTGGAATACATGAGGGGGAGATCCTTTCTTTTTGTACTCCCTCCTCAATATCCCAGACAGGTAGGTTGGGCTGAAAAAGATTGACGGGCCTAAAGTCACCCAGTGAATTCCATGGTAAAATAGAAAGCTCAACCTGAACTTTTAATACAGTTGTGAGTATTAAAGTTGATTGTAAAGATTGCTGCTGTAGCCTGATGAGAAGAGATGTAACACAGTGGCTCTAGCCACTCTAAATTGTGGTAAGATACAGATGCTTTAAAAAAAAAAGGGATACTTTAGTAATCAGTGACATGCTGAGGTAGCTCACTAGCATAATTTAGATGTCCATTAATTAACCTGGTAGGACTACCACATTTACTTTTAATATTTATATCTATTTCTAGTATAAATGAATAATTCAGCTAATTTGGAAAATATAAACAGCATGTACTTGATCATGTACGAAAAAGAAAAGCGCTGAGCAGGCCCAACAAGGGTGGTTGTATCTATAAGCTAAATGTATATATGTATTTTCTTCCTTTCTCAGGCATGCAAAATGAAGTTCCTTAAAAATGTGGATTTTGTGGCACAGACTAGTACTCTGGAAGAAACTCTGACTTTGTCGTCACTGCTGAAGGTAAGAAATCTGCATGGGTGTTGATAGCCAGTGACTTGAAAAGGAAATTAAATAAATTCAAGGAGGGCAGGTCTATAATGCCTATTGGTAATAATAGCTAAATATGTTGTATTGGATCCAGATTTAATTATGCTTAGAATACACTTAACACATTTTAGATCTAAATGTTCCCTGTGAACCCAAAGATACTGTCTCCTGGCCTCTGGAATTGACTGTTCCTTCAATTACAACTGGAGATTGCTTGAAATTTTAGAAGGCCTTAAAATGCTTATTTCCTAAAGGTCTTTTGAAAATAACATTATTTGTCCTTTATATAGATTTCTATTATGGTATTATGTTTTATATTGATTACTATATTTTATTGCTTTATTAGCATTGTACTGTATTTTATTGCTTCCCTGTAATAAAAATTGTTACTACTATCTCTGAGTACCAGTTACTACTTTTCTTGCAGGCTTCTTAGAAACTTCTTGCTCAACACTGCTGGAAATAGACTTCTGAGTAAATTTTGTAGGGCAGGAGTAAGAAATTGTACTGTGGGATGTTCAACTTTCCTTCAACAAGGGTGTATGGTTGTTGGCATTTCCCAGAGTTTCCAGTCAGCATAAGCATTGTATGGGAATGGTGGTGGTATAACTGGAGTTCGGTAGGCTCACCATTCCTACCTCACAGGCTATGGGTTTTGCTGTCTAATAGGTGTAGTTCAGGACATCTGGAGGGCACCAAGGTAGGAAAGATTGCTTTTTTTTTTTTTTAAAAGAAGGCTGCCTTGTTGAATATAAAGTATTTTAATTACAGGAATACCTCATATGTGGAGCTAAAAATGCAGACTGTCCAAATGAAGCTTCCAAGCAAACCACAGCATGTGATCGGATCCTTCGGGCTTGCATCTACAGGTTTGGAGAAGGCTTGGACTGCCCTGCTCACTTAAAAAGCCTCCAGGCCCTAGCCGATATGGCTTATCATGGCTACGTGTCTGCAAGACTTCAATACGTTCCTCTCTATTTGGAAAGGCTACTCTACCACTTGCTGCGGGGAGTGGCTGCTAAAGGCCGATCTGATATCTGCCTGAGGTTTGCTGACCTCCTCTATGCTGATCTGTCGAAACACCAGCCTCCCCAGGTGCCTGCTGATGACTATACCTCTATCGCTAAAAGTGCGTTTAGTGTGCTGTGGAAGAGCACAGATGCCATTGCCAAAATGGAAAAAACGCCTGCTGAATTTAAGCTTGCACTCTCCACCCAGCTACAAGCAGCGCGGTTTTTAGTGCTCCTGGAGCATAATGCCCCTATCCTCTTGCTCCACGAGCCTCCATTCTTTACCTCCTTAGTGGCCCGGCATGCTTCGGCTGCTGCTGTTTCTTTTGAGGCCCAGTGCAGCCCTCTGAGTAAGGAAGAAGCCTGTTTTCTCAGTGAGCAGCTTTTTAACCACTTGGTAGCAGCCGTTTTGGAAAAGAATGGTGTACCTTTGCCCTTCCAGGACTGCCTCTGCATCTTTGAGCTTATGGTGGTAAGGGTGCGCTACCTCTGCAAAACTGGCTGCTTCAGACAGAGTAAAGAAGTTCTTCAGCAGTCTAAGGGCTTCTTGAGAAAGTCCACCAATGAGTCCCATGGCTTAAGACTCACTTTAGACATTCTCTCTGCTAGTGTTGAAGTGAATAAAGTACTGTTAGTTGCCGAGAGTCCTGTAGGTCCTTTCTTCAACCAAGCAGCAGAAGCTCTAAACTCTTATGCAGGAGCTCAAGAACCCCTCCTTAAAGTGTTAGCTGAAAGTGGTCAGTTGCTTGTAACCCCTTTGTATGAGCATGCAAGGAAGGATAAACAGAAGTTCTTTGATTTGGAAGATATTCTGGAGGTTTCTACGTTCATGGAAAGCTATTTCAGACTGCTCTGCAAGCTGCTGGATATGGTAAGTAAAGCTGTTTTCTATTCTTTTGGCTGAAATTCATGCTGCATCTCTCTGCAAATCCAAATCCTGATAACAGCAAGTGTGACTCAGATTTTAAAAAAGCCAGCTTTTCAAAATGGCCTTGTTCTGGAATGGATGGATCTGGAATGCTAGTAGGCCACAGATGTAGTGATGATGGAGAGGAGGAAGAGTTGATGCCTTATTACTCTCCTGCTAGAAAGTTAGTTTTAAAAACAGAGCCTATCAGAGTTCGTGCATACATCTGAGATTTACTCATAACTGCACTCTGCACATTTAAGCTGTTTACCACAAAGACATATTTTCCCAATTGTCATCTAAATGTCATACTATGCAAAAATAGGGAAGAACAGGAGATAAATCAGTAAACAATTCTCTTTCTGGATTAAAAGGTCAGGAAGTCCAGTAATTAGAGTACCAATTCTATTTCATATAATATTTCTAGATGGGGATTCTGCTAATTAAAATGTGAATTGTGAGCCCTTTTCATTTCCTTTTACTTCCACAGGTTCCATCAGACAACGTGAAACAGCAACAAGTTCTGATGAAGCTACTATATCATTACTTCCAGTTATACACAACTGTGGTATATGATTCTTTTCAGATGCTGCCGGTAAGGGAAATTCAGGAGTTGCCTCCGTCTAGTGAAATCTTCGACAACAAATTTCTAGCCTGGGAAAGCAAGACTGGATTTTTCATCTTTGAGCAAAATGCCTTTTAAATCTTGCTTTGTTGTTCAAAATTAGCTGAGCATTCTGTATTCATAACTGGCAAGACTCAGTCTCTGTAAACTCTTGTCAAAGGATTAAATTAAATGGATTACATTAAATGGATCCAAGTTTAATGAAAGGTTGTAGCACCCTATTATTCACCTGGTTCCTTTATAGGCCAGTATTTATTAGGTTATATCCCATCTTAATTTTGTATAACTCATAGTGATGTATGTAATGATTCCTCCTCCTAATTCCCCCCTCCCCAGCAGGAGCAGTGTGAGCTGAGAGAGAGTGAGTAGTTCAAAGTCCTCCAGCTGGCTTTCATGCCCAAGGAAGAACTAAAACTCATGGTCTCCCAGTTTCTAGTCTAGCACCTTAACCTCTGTATCAAGTTAGCTCTCAATCTTCCCTAATACACATAAAAACATTTGGAAGGGGTCATAAGTTCCATCAACTCTAGTTAGTAAGGTTAATGGTTGGCATTAGTATAGGACACCCAGTGATTTCTGTTGGGAGAAGTTGCCTAGGCAAGATCTCCATTTAATGTTGCACAATGCCTTCTTGGTTGAAAGTTTAAGAACACAGATTTGTCTATACCCAGTTATTCAGGTTTTGGCATGCTGTTATCAAGTGTTGACAAAATATCTATAGTTTAAAAAGTGGGAACAAATGATTTGGATTTGAGTTGTGAAGAATAGCAGTAGTTTCCTTCATACATGGTTTTGGATATCACATGTTTATTTTTAAAAACCTCACAGTGTATCATACTATGTAAAATTTAGTATGCACAGAAAAAATAGAGGCATGAGTCTACAAAGCCACCAAGTGAGTTAATATAGTGCAAAAAACCAGTGTGTGTTTACTTCTTTTCATGCAAGCTCAGAGTAGAGACAAAGGTAGCACCTGTCTTGCCTTTTTTATCCTCTACCTTTGTCTGATTGGGTGGCAAAGTTTTCTGCTGTGATCACAGCAGATCCTGGGAAAACATGATTTTTGATTGCAAATAGAATATAAGTGTATCCTAATTAACACTTGTTGAGATATTCTTCAGATTTTTTTGCACATTACACCAAAGTTGTGGATTTGAAAGAACATCTAGTATAGGGATAGGTTTGCTGGCAGGATCCTGCTCTTTGTACAGTAGTGTTCACTTAACAGTATGTGTTCTTGGGTTATATCTTCGGTTCCTGTTTTTGATGTGACAAATACAGTTCTGTGTTTCCAAGTTAAAATTAATGACAACTGTGTAAATATTGCAACCATTGGTTCCCCCTTTTAAAAATGGTTTTCTTGCTATCCTGATATGCCTTATCCAGCTCTTTTCAAATGGTATTGTTATATTATCAAGGTTCTGAAAAGAACAGTTTCTCTACCTATTTACTTACTTTATCACAATTGTTGATTACATTCTCCTTGGTGAGAAGCTAGAAATCATAATCATTAATATATCCATGTTTATATTTGAGCGAATCTAACATCACAACATCCTGTTGCAGTTTTGCTTATGGTCTGTTTGGAATGAGAATAAATCAGTTTTAAATAGGGCTAGCTCAATCACAGAATAAAAACAGAATGGAATTGGCCTAAGAGTGGAAGAAGGCAAGTCTGAATCTACTATATACTCATAGTTCCCTAATCATAGTATATGTAAGAAGTTGCAGGGTGTTCTAATGTGTAATTTTGTTTTTCTTCCCTTTTCCTCCCCTTTTCCCTTTCTATTTTCTAATAATAGTAGAGTCCAGGTTAAAACTTACATTTGATTCTATGCTAACTGGCCTTGGGTTGGTGGTGTTCAGTCATTAAGTCATGTCTGACTCTTTGTGACCCATGAACCATATTGTGCCAGGCCTTCCTGTCCTTCACTGCCTCCCAGAGTTTGCTCGGCTTCATGTTCGTTGCTTCGGTGATGCTATCTAACCATCTCATCCTCTGCCGTCCCCTTCTCCTTTTACCTTCAATCTTTCCCAGCTTCAGGGTCTTTTCCAAAGAGTCCTCACTTCGCATTAGGTGGCCAAAGTATCTGAGCTTGAGCTTCAGTATCAATCCTTCCAATGAGCA